GTTTTTTGTATTTTTAGTAGAGATGGGGTTTCACCATGTTGACCAGGATGGTCTTGATCTCTCGACCTCGTGATCCACCCGCCTCGGCCTCCCAAAGTGCTGGGATTACAGGCTTGAGCCACCGCGCCCGGCCTCTTAGCCTGTTTTTTTAAATCAAGTAATTAGTTGTTTTTACTTTTGTGCTGTGGGAATTTCTTATGTATTTTGGATATTTACCCCTTTTCAGATAAAAAGTTTGTAGATATTTTCTCTCATTTCTATCACTGTGTTGTCTACTTTGCTGTACAGAAGCTGTTTTATGTAGTCTTACTTGTATTTTTGTTTTTATTGCCTGCACTGTTGATGTTATATCCGTGAAATCATTGCCAAGACCAATGTTGTGAAGGTTTCCCTCTGTGTTTTCTCTGGGAGTTTTATAGTTTCAGGTTTTACGTTTAAGTCTTTAATCCTTTGTAAGTTGATTTTTGTGTATGGTGTAAGAGAAGGCTGCATTCTTTTGAATGTGAATATCTAGTTTTCCCAACACAATTTGTTGAGGATACTTTTCTTTTCTCATTGTGTATTATTTGCAGCCTTGTGTAAGATCAGGTGACTGTACATAAACTGATTTATTTCTGGGCTCTCTATTCTGTTCCATTGTTCCATATATCTGTCTTTATGTCAGTACCATACTATTTTGATAACAGTAGCTTTGTGTAATAATATATTTTGAAAACAGGAGGTGTGATGCCTCCAACTTTGTTCTTTCTCAAGGTTAATTTAGCTATTTGAGGTCATTTGTCAGTCCATAAGAGTTTTAGAATTTTTTTTTTTTCTATTTCTGTAAAAAAGTGCAATTGGGGGCCAGGCACAGTGGCTCATGCCTGTAGTCTCAGCACTTTGCGAAGCTGCAGTGGGTGGATTGCCTGAGGTCAGAAGTTTGAGACCAGCCTGGCTAACATGGTGAAACTCCGTCTTTACTGAAAATACAAAAATTAGCCGGGCGTGGTGGCGCATGCCTGTAATCCCAGCTACTCAGGAGGCTGAGGCAGGAGAATTGCTTGAACCCGGGAGGCAGAAGTTGCAGTGAGCTGAGATCACGCCACTGCACTCCAGCCTGGGTGACAGAGTGAGACACCATCTCATAAAATGAAAATACCATTGGGATTTTGATAGGGATTGCACTGAATCTGTGAATTCCTTGGGTAGTCTGGATATTTTGACAATATTAAGTCTTCCAATCCATGAACATAGGGTGTCTTTCCATTTCTCTGTGCCTTTCATTTCATTTTAAAAAAAAATTTTTATTTCATAGGGTTTTGGGGAACAGGTGGTATTTGGTTACATGAGTAAGTTCTTTAGTGGTGATTTGTGAGATTTTAGTGCACCCATCACCCAAGCAGTCCCCAAAGTGCATTGTGTCACTCTTATGCCTTTGCATCCTCATAGCTTATCTCCCACTTATGAGTGAGAACATGTGATGTCTGCTTTTCCATTCCTGAGTTACTTCACTTAGAATGATAGTCTCCAGTCCCATCCAGGTTGCTGCAAATGCCATTGATTTATGCCTTTTTATGGCTGAATAGTATTCTATTGTGTATATATGCCACAGTTTCTTTATCCACTTGTTTATTGATGGGCATTTGGATTGGTTCCAAGTTTTCTTTTTTGGTTATATGCTTTCCTGGTTTTGGTATTAGGATGATACTGGCTTCATAGAATGATTTAGGAAGGATTCCCTCCTTCTCTATCTTGTGGAATAGAATTGGTACCAATTCTTCTTTAATTGTCTGATAGAATTCAGCTGTGAATCTGTCTGGTCCTGGACTTTTTTTTGTTGGTAATTTTTTTTATTACCATTTCAATCTTGCTGCTTGTTATTGATCTATTTGGGATATCTAATTCTTCCTGATTTAAGCCAGGAGTGTGTATCTTTCCAGGAATTTATTAATCTCCTCTTGTTTTTCTAGTTTATGTGCCTAAGGTGTTCATCATAGCCTTGAATGATCTTTTGCATTTCTGTGGGGTTGGTTGTAGTATCTCCTGTTTCGTTTGTAATTGAGCTTATTTGGATTTTTCTCTCTTTTTTTCTGTGGGTATTCTTGCTAATGGTCTATCCATTTTATTTATCTTTTCAAAGAACCAGCTTTTTGTTTCATTTATCTTTTGTATTTTTGTTTGTTTCAATTTCATTTAGTTCTTCTCTGATCTTGGTTATTTCCTTTCTTCTGCTGGGTTTGGGTTTGGTTTTTCTTGTTTCTCTAGTTCCTTGAGGTGTGACCTTAGATTGTCTGTGCTCTTTCAGACTTTTTCATGTAAGCATTTAGGGCTATGAACTTTCCTCTTTGCACCACCTTTGTGGTATTCCACAGGTTTTGATAGGTTGTGTCACTATTATTGTTTGGTTTCAAGAATTTTTAAGTTTTCACCTTGATTTCATTGTTGACCCAATGGTCATTCAGGAGCAGGTTATTTAATTTCTATGCATTTGCATGGTTTTGAAGGTTCTTTCTGGAGTTAATTTCTAGTTTTATTCCACTGTGATTAGGGAGAGTACTTGGTATAATTTCAATTTTCTTAAATTTATTAAGACTTGTTTTGTGGCCTATCATATGGTCTATCTTGGAGAAAGTTTCATGTGCTGATGAATAGAATGTATATTCTGCAGTAATTGGGTGGAATGTTCTGTAAATATCTGTTAAGTCCATTTGTTCCAGAATATAGTTTAAATCCATTGTTTCTTTGCTGACTTTCTGCCTTGATGACCTGTTTAGTGCTGTCAGTGGAATATTGAAGTCCCCTACTGTTATTGTGTTGTTGTCTATCTCATTTCTTAGGTCTAGTAGTAACTGTTTTGTAAATTTGGGAGCTCCAGGGTTAGGTACATATATATTTATGGTTGTGATACTTTTCTGTTGGACAAGGCCTTTTATCATTATATAATGTCCCTTTTTGTCTTTTTTTAAACTGCTCTTGCTTTACAGTCTGTTTTGTCTGGTATAAGAATAGCTACACCTGCTAACTTTTGGTGTCCATTTGCATGGAATGTCTTTTTTCCACCCCTTTACCTTAATTTGGTATGAGTCCTTATGTGTTAGGTGAGTCTTTTGAAGACAGCAGATGATTGGTGAATTCTTATCCATGTGGCAGTTCTGTATCTTTTAAGTGGAGCATTTAGGCCATTTACATCCAACTAGTATTGTGATGTGAGGTACTATTCCATTCATCGTGCTATTTGTTGCCTGTATACCTTTTTTTTTAATTGTATTTTTGTTTTATAGGTCCTGTGAGAATTATGCTTTAAAGAGGTTCTGTTTTGATGTGTTTTCAGGATTTGTTTTAAGATTTATAGCTCCTTTTAGCAATTCTGGTAGTTCTGGCTTGGTAGTGGCAGATTCAGCATTTGTTTGTCTGAAAAAGACTGTATCTTTCCTTCATTTATGAAGCATAGTTTTACTGGATCCAAATTCTTGGCCGATAATTGTTTTGTTTAAGGAGGCTAAAGACAGGGCCCCAATCCCTTCTGGCTTGCTGAGAAATCTACTGTTAATCTGATAGGTTTTTCTTTGTAGGTTACGTGGTGCTTTTGCCTTACAGCTCTTAATATTCTTTCCTTCATCTCGACTTTAAATAACCCGATGACAATGTGCCTAGGAGATGATCTTTTTGTGATTAATTCGCCGGGTGTTCTTTGAGCTTCTAGTACAGGCATCCCCAAACTTTTTACACAGGGGGCCAGTTCACTGTCCCTCAAACTTTTGGAGGGCTGCCACATACTGTGCTCCTCTCACTGACCACCAATGAAAGAGTTGCCCCTTCCTGAAGTGCGGCGGCGGGGTGGGGGGCAGATAAATGGCCTCAGGGGGCTGCATGCGGCCCGCGGGCCGGGCTGTAGTTTGGGGATGCCTGTTCTAGTATTTGGATGTCTAGGTCTCTAGCAAAGCCAGGGAAGTTTTCCTTGATTATTCCCCCAAATATGTGTTCCAAATTTTTATGTTTCTCTTCTTCCTCAGAAATGGCAGTTATTCTTAGGTTTGGTCACTTAGGATAATCCCAAACTTCTTGGAGGCGTTCATTTTTTTCTTATTTTCTTTGTCTTAATTCATTCTTATTCTTTTTTCTTTGTCTTTGTTGGCTCGGGTTAATTCGAAAAGCTTGTCTTCGAGGTCTGAAGTTCTTTCTTTTGCTTGTTCAATTCTGTTGCTGAGACCTTCCAGAAAATTTTGCATTTCTCTGTGTGTCCTTTATTTTCTGAAGTTTTGATTGTTTTTTAGTTATGCTGTTTCACTGAAGATTTCTTTCCTCATATTTCTTGTATCGTTTTTTTGATTTTCTTAAATTGAACTTTACCTTTCTCTGGTACCTTTCTGATTAGCTTAATAACTGATCTGAATTCTATTTCAGGTAAATCAGGGATTTCTTCTTGAATTGGATCCGTTGCTGGCTAGCCAGTGTGATGTTTTTTGTTTTTTGAGGTGAAAGAACCTTGTTTTGTCATATTACCAGAATCATTTTTCTGGTTCCTTCTCATTTGGGTAGGCTGTGTCATTTGGGTAGGGAAGGCCTACGGCTCAAGGTTGCCGTTTAGACTCCTTTGCCCCACGAGGTGTTCCACAGATGTAGTACTCTCCCCCTTTTTCTAAGGATGTGGCTTCCCGCTAGCTGAGCTGTAGTGATTGTTACCTCTCTTCTGGATGTAGCCACAGCAGGTCTACTAGGCAGGGCTTATACTCTGCATAGTCCTGTGATGTGGACTATCCGCTGTCTGTCTGAGTGGGAGCTGCAATCTAGTCCTGCCTCCCATCTGCTATTTTTCCTCCAAATCCAGCCTTTAATTTCTTACATCAATGTTTTTTTTTATGGTAAGTTTATTCTTAGGTAACTTATTCTTTTTTTTGTGCTATTGTAAATTAGATTGTTTTGCTAATTTCTTTTTTAGGTAGTTTATTAGTGGATGTTGATTTTCTATCCTGCAATATTATTGAATTTATTAGTTCTTTTTTTTTTTTTTTTAAATTCAGTCTCCATAGAGACTGTCAAAAATGACCAGTGCTGACTATATTGCAAGTCAGCATGGCTGGGTATCAGGAAAAGTTTTCCATTAGCAGTCATCACATCTCATAACCCTGACTGGCTATGAAGTATTGTAGCCGCTGTACAAAGCTAAATTTATTAGTTCTAACAGTTCTAAAAAGCTGTTAAATGGTTTTTTATGTCTAATATTATGTTTTCTGCAAATGGATAGTTTTACTTCTTTCTTTCTGATTTGAATGCCTTTTATTTTGTTTTCTTGCCTAATTGCTTTAGGTAGGACTTCTAGTACTATGTTGAATAAAAGTTGTAAGAGTGGACATCTCTGCCTTTTGCCTGATCTCAGTGGGAAAGCTTTTAGTTTTTCACAATTAAGTAGGATAGCTGTGGGCTTTTCATACATGGACTTTATTATATTGAGATAATTTCCTTTTGTTTGTAGTTTGTTGACAGATTTTACCATGAATGGGTGCTGATTTTTTCAGGTGCTTTTTCTGCCTTTTGGGATGATCATATGACTGTTATCTTTTATTCTGTTAATGTGGTATACCACAGTATAATTGATTTTCATATATTGAACCATTCTTGCATCCTAGGGATAAATCCCACTTAGCTTTGGTTTATGATCTTTTGAATGTGCTGTTGGATTCAGTGTGCTAGCATTTTGTTGAGGATTTTCGTATCTGTATTCTTCAGGGATATTGGCCTGTAGTTTTCTCTTCTTCTGGCTTATCTGGCTTTGGTATCAGGGAAATGCTGGCTTTGTAAATGTGTATGAAAGTGTGCTCTCCACTTCAGTTTTTTGAAGGCTTTGAGACAGATTGGTGCTAATTGCTCCTTAAGTGTTTGGTAGCATTCATCAGTGAAACCATCTGGTCCTGGGCTTTTATTTTTTGGGAGGTTTTTGATTACTAATTCAATCTGCATACTTCTTACAGGTTTGTTCAGACTTTCTGTTTCTTCATGATTTAGTCTTGGTAGGGTATTACGTTTCTAGGAATTTATTCATTTCTTCTAGGTTATCTAGTTTGTTGGCATATAGTTGTTTTTAGTAGTCTCATGATCCTTTTTATTTCTTTTCCTTTTTTGAGATGGAGTTTTGCTCTTGTTGCCCAGGCCAGAGTGCAATGGCACAATCTCTGCTCACCGCAACCTCTACCTCCTGGGTTTAAGTGATTCTTCTGCCTCAGCCTCCTCCTGAGTAGCTGGGATTACAGGCGCGCACCACCACGCCTGGCTAATTTTGTATTTTTAGTAGAGACAGGGGTGCTCCATGTTGGTTAGGCTGGTCTCGAACTCCTGACCTTAGGTGATCCTCCTCCTCAGCCTCCCAAAGTGCTGGGATTCCAGGTGTAAGCCACCGCACCTGGCTTGATCTTTTTTATTTCTGAGACATCAGTTGTAATGTCTTTTTCATGTTTTATTTGAGTCTTATTTGATCTTGAGTCTTCTCTTTTTTTCTTAGTCTAGTTAAGGGTTTGTCAGTTTTATCTTTTCAGAAAAGCAACTCCTAGTTTTTTTTCCCCCCGCTTTTCTATTTTTTATTTCATCTATTTCTGCTCTAATCTTTGCCACTTCCTTCCTTCTGCCAACTTTGGGCTTAGTTTTCTAGTTCCTTAAGCTGTAAAGTGAGGTTATTTGAGATTTTTCTTTTTTAATGTCAGCATTTATTGTGATGAATTTATTGTTCCTTCTTATTGCTGCTTTTGTTGCATCCAATGGATGTTCTGGTCTTTTTTTTTTTTTTTTTTTGAGACAGAGTTTTGCTCTTGCTGTCCAGGCTGGAGTACAATGACACGTTCTCGGCTTGCTGCAACTTCTGCCTCCCGAGTTCAAGAGATTGTCCTGTCTCAGCCTTCCGAGTAGCTGGGATCTTACAGATGTGCACCACCATGTCTGGCTAATTTTTTGTATTTTTAATAGAGTTGGGGTTTCTCCATGTTGGTCAGGCTGGTCTTGAACTCCCAACCTCAGATGATCCATCCACCTCGGCCTCCCAAAGTACTGGGATTACAGGCGTGAGCCACTATGCCTGGCTGGATGTTCTGGTCTTTCAGCATGATTTCTGGTGTTAGTCTTCCTTTTATTTCCAAGCAGAAGTTATGCAATAAGATAGAATATAAAGTTTCCAAGAGCCTTAAGCTTTTCTTTCCTTCTTCACATGTCTGTAGTAGATATTTGTAGGTATTAATTCATGATTGTCTTAGGGTTTTGGAAATTATATCCATCTATAGTAGTGCAGGTTAATTTCCTGAACACCTTAGTAGTAAGATAATTTAAGAAACTTAAGGCATTTTGGGAAAAATGGATGTGAGAGTCTGATGTTCAGAATTTATCTTTGAAAGCCCTTTACAGACAGTTGAGGCTCGAGGCATAGCAGTGGTCGTCTCCAGCAATCAATTAGCACCAGCATCTACACCTGGCCCCTGTAACTAATGATTGTTGTTTCACAATAGTTTATGTAGACCTCTCCTCTTTGCCTTTGGAAGTTTTGCCTTCCTTCATCCTATCTGGATATGCCTTTGATCTGTTATAGCAAATATATCCTGGATTGCAATCACCTGTCCTTCCCAAATAAAATTTTCTTTTGCAGAGTTTTTTTCTTTGTCATTATTTTAGGTTGAGATAATCTAGACATAAATCCCTTATCAGACATATGACTTGCAAATATTTTCTATTCTGTGGGTCATCTTTTGACCTTCTTGATTGTAGGACAAAAGTTTTAAATTTTGTAGGACAAAAGTTTTAAATTTTGTTGACATTCATTTTCTCTCTATTTTTTTGTCTTTTGTGATTTTAATGTCATGTGCAAGAAGACCTTGACAACCTAAGGCCATGTAGATTTACTTCTGTACGTTCTTCCAATAATTTTATAGGTTTAGCTCTTTCGTTTAGATCTATGTTCCATTTTTAGTTATTTCTTGTGTGTGATATTAGAAGGGGTTCCATCTTCATTCTTTTGCATATAGACATCTGGTTGTTCAGCACGATTTGTTATGAAGGCGATTTCTCCAATGCCCTCAATTGAATTACCTTGACACTCTCATTGAAAATCAATTGACTGTAAATGTAAGGATTTGTTTTTAGACAGTTAATTCTGTTCCTTTGGTTTATATATCTATCCTTATGCTAGTACTACACTGTCTTGATAAGTACAGCTTTGTAGTAAGTTTGAAATTGGGGAAGTGTGAGTCCTCCAAGTTGGCTGTTTTTTTCCACAGTTGTCTGATTTTTCTGGATCCATTCCATTTTCATGTGAATTTAGAATAAACCTGTCAATTTCTGCAAGAAAGTAGGAACTAGAATTTTGATAGCAATTATATTGAGTTTATAGATCAATTTGGGAAGTATTATGCCATCAATGTTACATTCTCCAATCCATGAACATGTGATGTCTTTCTGTATTCAGAAATTCTTTAATGTCTTTCAGTAATAGTTTGTGGCTTTCATAGTACAAATTTTACTCCTCTTTTGTTAAATTTATTCCTAAGCATTTTATTATTCTTGATGCTATTTGAAATTGAATTTTTTTTTTCTTTTTAAGATAGGGTCTCACTTTGTTCTGTGCCTACAGTGCAGTGGCATGATTATGGCTCACTGCAGCCTCCACCCGGGCTCAAGTGATCATTTCACCTCAGCTTCCATAGTAAATGGGACTATAGGCATGAACCACCACGCTCAGCTAAGTTTTATATTTTTTGTAGAAATGGCATCTCGCTATGTTGCTCAGGCTGGTCTTGAACTCCTGAGCTCAAATGATCCTCCTGCCTTGACCTCCCAAAGGTCTGGGGTTACAGGAATGAGCCACTCAGCCTGGCTGAAATGGAATTGCTTTTTAAATTTTATTTTCAGATTGCTTATTGCTAGTGTTTAGAAAATTAAGACGTCGTCTTTGATTTTTAGAGCACAAATCAGGAGTTAGGATTTCTATTTGGTTTTATTACAGGTTTATAGAGGCATATGAAAATATATTATTTTCTGTTAAAACCTCTTTTCTTTGCCTTATTTAACATTTGTTGAGTCTTCATTCATAACCGCCTATGAACCCTATCTTCATCCTTCAAGCCATGCAGTGTGAATGAATTTAAAAATATATCATAATAGGTTTATTGTTTGAAACATATTAATAGTTTATAGAGTGAAATTTGAATAAGGTGATAAGACATTTTTTCACTGACTTACAATTATCATACAGGCTGCTGTTACTTAAAGTGCAGTAATTTGACAAAACCAATACAGATTATTACAACTGGTTCTAATTATGTTTATAAACGAGGTAAGATTGTGAAACAAACTCCTTTTGGAGGCACTTGGTTAGAAGAGCTTTATAAATGATACTGATTTTCTTTTCAGCAGCTTTTTTTTTTTTTTTTTGAGACAGAGTCTTGCTCTTGCCTAGGCTGGAGTGCGGTGGTGTGATCTCTGCTCACTGCAACCTCTGCTTCCCAGATTCAGGTGATTCTTGTGCCTCAGCCTCCTCAGTAGCTGGGACTACAAGTGCGTGCTACCATGCCTGGCTAATTTTTTTTTTCTGTATTTTTAGTAGATACAGGATTTTGCATTGTTGGCTAGGTTGGTCTTGAACTTCTGCTCTCAAGTGATCCACCCCTCTTGGCCTCCCAAAATGCTGGGATTACAGGCATGGGCCACCACACCTGGCCTTCTCTAGCTATTAATAACACTTATTAATACTTTTGCTTCATAGTAAAATTAAAAAGCTCCTGCCTTGTTAATCCTGTATATGGCCTGCTGCAATGGCAAATATACTGAATGTATCTATTTTAGAAGGAGAAAAATTAAGTCAGAGAAGAGCCAAAATAAAATTTTTTATAAGGGAAAATACCAAGTTCTGGTAAGGATGGGAAGCAACCACAACTCTCATACATTGCTGGTATGAGTATGAATTAGTACAGTCCCTTAGAAAAAGTTTGTTAAGTATTTATAAAGACATTTTCAGTATGTCTTTATCAGCAGCCTGAAAACAGACTAATACAGTAAATTCATACCAGGAGAGTGGGGCGATGCTGAAGATGCCCGAAAATGTGGAAGTGACTTTGGAACTGGGTAGCAGGCAGAGGCTGGAACAGTTTGGAGGGCTCAGAAGAAGACAGGAAAATGTGGGGAAGTTTGGATC